GACTTCAAATGAGAAGAAAAAGACGACTCCAGACCATAAAGCTGTGGCATCCGGGTATCATCCCGGCAGGATTACCAGACTCAATACCATTCAGGACTCAGTAGAACTAAAGCTTTTGGAATCTGATTTCGACTACACAACAAAGACTCGAGAGAGATCAGATTCCGGCTCACGTTACGGTGAACACGACGCTAATTCAGCACTGTAAGAGAACAAAAACGCCGCTCACTAGCGTACTGCAATGTAAGTAGAGAGGAGTTGCGATAGATTGCTCCAAAATAGTTACTGTGGAGGAATCCAGCACCGTGTATCAATCTCGATCACAGCATACCGAGAGAATTATCCCCATTTAAAAACTCAAGACACTACCTGGTCGACAACTCATTGGAAAAAGGGTTCTTAGATTAAAAAAAGTAATAGACCCCCTTTTTTTTTGACCCAAGTTCTTAGAGTTCTACCAACTCATTTCAGATTTCCGGTGCCCTATTTAAGTCGGAATCTTCCACCCTGCATATTAAACGACTGCCTAATCTCCTAACTGATATGAGAGAATTTGTCCTCTCCCGAATACGTCACCCTTCGGGCTAGATGCAAAATGATCGAGAAAGAAGATCTCGAAACCAAGGCACGCGCTTCGCATCACAACGTTCGTGGTATCAATTAGAACCAGAGCTCAGAAAAAGCCACAAAATGGGAGAAAAGTCTTTCCCCCTCAGCCGAGAGCGAAGCGATCCACGTTTAAGGGTAGCCAATGAAGCTGAATGAAGCCTATGCACATTAATAAATATTATGAAAGGACTATACGTAGACACTTGGCTTTGCTCCTGCCGCTACAGCACCAGCCAATACTACATAAAATTATACCCTGATACACTTCATCCAATTCCAGTCCTTCACATTTGGTAGGCAGAATAACACCAACAACCAACAGTGTAGAAGGGCACTGCTCGTGGTCATCTTTGGAAGATTTATAAGATTTAAAAGATAATTGTAATGAAGGAAACTAAATAATATCAGGTCCAATGGCTGGAGACGAACGCCCACTTCCATTGACCGCTCCTAAAATCCACTAATAAAAACACTGCCGGGGATGTGTTGTAACTTGTCCATGAGGTAGACGGATTGAGCTCTGGTGTATGCTCTCCCGAATTAACGTGCCATGTGGATATTGTTGTGGCATAACCCGGGCCCTCAGCCAAAGTAAATTCTGAATAAAGAACACAATCTCCATGCCGTGCCTCGCGATTTCCAAGACTGGTGGAGACACTTCCGGCGTTAGATGGATTGAAATGATATTCCCAAAAACAAAGGCTACCACCTTTTCCCGTGAGGTTACTTTAACATCTAATGCAAAGTGGACCAGAAGACTGCCTATGACCTGGTGGCAACGCACGGTCAGGCTCACGGCAAAAGAAGGTTAAAAGGGTTGCGAGGGAACGTTCCCAATGACATGGTATATTCAAATGTCGTGTTATCCTGGAGCCAACACTGAGTCTTGAATTTTGACAGTCCCCATCACCTCGCATGCTAGTAGTGTATCATAGGCCTGCTGATCACTGTGAGTAGTTCCGGAAACTCAAACGGAAAGTCAACGACGGGCTTCAACGCCGATCGCATAAGCCGAACTTGTCCTTGACTGGGCATCATTAATAGGTTTGGATAAGAGTTGTCGATCAAGAACCACTGCACCCCGCTTGTCTCTACATTCCACGGAAAGCGTAGTTTATGTTGGAGTAGATGCTTTTTGTGATTAGATAGCCCTCAGTGGTAGTTCTTTGTCTAAAAGGTTAATGGCGCGGGAACCTCACTTTCCGGAAACCTCAGCCCCAACTCAGCTATTTCTGGTGTTGTTACTCATATAGAATGTAGTTATTGCCTATTGTCCATCGGTAGATAAGAAGCAGCCTCCCTGTGTACTCGCGAACCGCCATAAAGCAGCCCAAGTCCCCAGATGGAGATGTTCTGCTCCGTAATTTTTCTTTAACTGCTTCAATACAGCCTCCACTCTCTCTTCATCTTCCCCATTATTATTTATCCCGTACTTTAGTTCCGTAGGATTTTCCGTCATTTATTAATTGTTGTTATTACATTATTTTCTTATTTATGTTCTTTTTGTTTTATTAAATTTAGAAATTTTTCAAGCCGGTGCTTCTCCTTTGCTGTTTCTCAGTTCTTATTGTAATCTTCACCCACACGATGCACGTCGGTTAGGTCTATTCGGTGTGGCGGCGCGCTTCGAAGGTAAGCTTTCTCCCCTCAGGCCCGCTTGCCTGTGTCATGGTGAGGGTCAACTTCTTCATTGAGGTACGCAGGTGTTTATCATGCTGGTATTGATTGCTTCGCCAGTCTTCGTTCTGTGTGGGCAATGACATAAGTCCAGCGTCTTTCCCACGCACATTCCTTGGCATTCACAAGGCACCTGTCTGGCTCGGCCAATAAGTTTCCAAAGTAAACTCAACAACCTTTCTCCAGCCTGCATGCTTCACACCAGCCAGTCATCCTCTGGTTCTGCTGCCCCATTCAGCACTATCCGATCGCCCTCTCATCGGATTTTTGGTTTCCGCTGTTATCCTGGCAGATTTACCCTGCTTTCGTTCTAACCTCCTGCGATCAGTGCACGTTTGTTGTTCAACTTTTCCTGTAATTGGCACAATGCTTCCTGTCTGAAGGCGAAATTCTTTGTACAGGTATTTAGGCGCCTCCTCCTCCCAGGTGCAGCAATGTAGACCTGACTTTGCGGCCCTTTTCGGCCCAGTTTGATACTCTCGCCCTCGCGGGCCCTGTGATTTGCTTGGGAATTCTTACCATGCGCCACGTTCTGTTTGTCATACCAACGCATTTCCGAGATGGCCTTCGCGTGCCGATTCCCTCAAATTAAAGCTGCAGTTTGAACTTTCCTGGTGCGCCCCCTGATTCTTGGCGATCGAAAAATCTGTATGGTTGGCCAGTCCTCCTTACACACAGCGCGTCAAATCATTCCCCGTCCAGAACCAGACTCTGGATCAACACACAGCTCTACCTTCTCTGGCATCCTCTAAATCCCCAGCCCAATCGTCTCGTTGACACCAAGAAATGTACTCACTCGGATCATAGACTTACCCCCAGCAAACTGCTGTTCATCCCAGAACTCAACAATTCCGATCTTTTCTGAAGCATGCAAGCTTGCCCCGTTTTCGATGGTCACCACCAGTCGGGCTTGATGGGTTGGGTTTGTGGAGATTGCCAACCCCTACACAGTTCCAGTTTCTCAAAAACGGCACTAGAAGATTGGGGTTTCGATCGGAAGTGAGCAGGCCTCTCGGCTGAGATTCAGATGGACTAAGTGATTAGATTCTACGATCGGTAAGACACGAACATTGTTCCCAGTTTGAGATACCAGATTGCTCTTTGGGAGGTGGAGCTTAGTTGTGTGTAGGAGTGGATTGGTTGTGACGTTAGGTTTCTCC